GCGACAGCACAAGTTCAAGATCAACGGTGAGAAATGCGAGTTTGGTCGCACCCGTGTCTTGTACTTGGGTCATGAGATCTCCGCGGAAGGGTTGAGGCCCGATGACGCGAAGGTGGCCAGCATTCGTGATTGGCCACGTCCTCAGTCTGTGACTGAGATGAGATCTTTCTTAGGAATGACAGGCTACTATAGGACTTTCGTTAAGAACTACAGCATAGTGGTCGCTCCTTTGACTGATCTGACCCGCCTTGACACCCCTTGGGAGTGGATAGATAAGTGTGAGGCTGCTTTCAGACATCTGAAGCATGCATTGACGCACTATGAAGTCTTGAAACTTCCTGATCCTGACAAGTCGTTTATAGTCACAACGGATGCCAGCCAATATGGCATTGGCGTCGTGCTTGCACAACAGGATGGGCCAAAGTTGAGGCTAGTAGAGTACATGTCCAAGAAAATGCCGTCTCAGAAGTTGGCTAAGTCCACTTATGAGAAGGAACTCTATGCGGTGTACAAGGCTCTCACCCATTGGAGACACTACCTCCTTGGGCGGTTCTTCATCCAACGGACTGATCATCAGACCCTGAGATGGATGAGAACACAGCCGGTACTCTCTGACGCTCTCAAGCGTTGGATCGAAGTCATTGAGCAATATGACTTTGATCCTCAGTATCTCAAAGGGGAGTACAACAAGGTTGCTGATGCCTTGTCGCGCAGACCGGACTTCTCGGGTGCGCTGATTACTGAGTTCGATCTGACGGACGATGTGACTCAGTCTTTGGTGGAAGCCTATCGTCAGGACCAGTTTATGTCTGAGATTATACGCAGACTTGAGGCSAAGGATAAGAAGACCTYCGCYGAGTTTGAGTTGGTCAATGGCTTGCTGTTCCTAGAGAAGGCAGGGAATAAACGCTTGTGTGTTCCAAATAGCGAGTCTTTGCGTAGTTTGTTTTTAGGCGAGTGTCATGATGCCACCGGCCATTTTGGATATAAGAAGACCGCAGCCAACTTGCTGCAGCGGTTCTGGTGGCCCACTATGATGAAAGATGCACAGCTGTACGTGGAAACTTGTCAAGTTTGCCAAAGAGACAAGCCCCGTACTCAGGCTCCTCTTAGGCTGCTCAAGCCTCTTCCGATTCCGGAAAGGCCGGGTGAAAAGTTTGTCCATGGACTTCATGGATGCGCTGGTCACCAGCAAGAGTGGGATGAGACAGATCTTTGTCATCGTGGATAGGTTTAGTAAGTTTGCTAGATTAATAGCTATGCCAGAAACAGCGAAGACCGAGTATGTGATCAGGCTATTTAAAGAGAACTGGGTTAGAGACTTTGGACTGCCGAAGTCTACAGTCAGTGACAAGGACGTCAGGTTCACGAGTGAATTGTGGAAGGCCGCTGCAGCTGAACAAGGAACTCAACTGCAGATAACCTCTGGAAATCATCCAGAAGCTAATGGCCAGGCTGAATAAATGAGCCGCGTTGTGCAACACCTGTTGAGGCACTACATCAAGCCCAACCAGGTAAACTGGGATGAAAAGCTTGCTCTAGTCGCCAGTCTATATAACAATGCTGTACACAGTGCCACCGGGGTGAGTCCTAACAGTCTACAATTGACGTTCAAGCCTAGACTGCCCTTAGACTTCCTACTTCCCGACAACCAGCCAACTGCTACACCGGGCACTTTGGAGTTTGCCTATAGATATGAACAGAAGATGCAGGAGGCTGTAGAAAACATGCAGAAGGCGCAGGCAGCAATGATGGAGTATGAGAATAGACACCGTCGCCCTTCTACATTTCAGGTTGGGGACAGAGGCTGGGTTACGTCTTCAGAACTAGGACAGGAGTTCGGGATATCCCGCAAACTCATGCCTCAGTACTTTGGACCTTGGGAAGTTCAAGAAGTAGTAGGGACAGATCCTAATGGTCCATCATATGTCATCCGTATCCCTGGTCATCTCAAAACTCACCCAGTCTTTCACGCCTCTAAGCTCGCTGCGTTCAAGGAAACTGATCATTTTCCCTCCTGTTTGTCAATGCTGCCCCCAACCATGGACGGAGAAGTCGACATCGATGATATCGTCGACCACAGGGAGATGTCCGTTCAGAAGCCTCCAGGAAGGAGACGTGCTCCAAGGCCAAAGCTGCAGTTCCGTGTCCACTTCAGACATCATACAGATCCGAAGGAGGACCGCTGGTTTACTCGGGAGGAATTGATGCAGACCGCTCCTCAAATCGTTGCTCGCTATGAGAGGGATGTATTGAAAGGAAAGCGCCAGATGGCGGCAGATTGATCTTCTCAGAGGACTTACGAAGATATGGAGGAGGGAATGCGAGGCTACGCCCGCATAGCCCCTACGGGCCCTTATTTGCAGCAAGGTCGGCCGCCCTAAGTGAAGGCAGGCACGACAGGCCCTCAGGGCCTCGTTTTTCAGGGTACCCCGCAACTGGGGAAATTCAGGCAGTTGCGCAGCGCCAGTTGGTTGAATGAACTCAGGCCMTGGGCCGCCTGTGTGAATGAATACAAAGCAGGCCCTGGGCTGGATACGGGTACCGGGCCAAGCACAGGCCGAAAGCAGTTGGGCACATGCAACCACTTCAGGCCCAAGGCCTGC